TCCTCAGACTTCAGGCTGCTGATGGTGAGAGTGAAATCTGTCCCAGATCCACTGCCACTGAACCGGGGCGGGACATCTGGCCCTAAATTGGTCGCATATTTGATCAGGAGCCTGGGAGCTTTCCCTGGTTTTTGCTGATACCAGGCTAAATTACTGCCAATGCTCTGACTGGCCTTGCAGGTGATGGTGACTTTCTCTCCTAGATATGCAGACACAGGTGGACTCTGGGTCATCTGGATATCACACTGGGAACCTGGGGTTGAAAATAGAAACACACATCATCACCACCATTCATTGTACTATAAATTATTTTCCCATGAAGCATCGGTAGCACTAGATCCAGTAAACCCTCGTTTCCCTCCTTACCTGGGAGCCAGAGCAGCAGGAAGCTGAGGAGCTGCACAGGGGCCCACATGTCCACTCTGGGTGTCACAGACACTGACCCTGCAGGGTGACACAGACTAATATTGAGTGTCCAGGCATGAGCTCTGGGGACTTGCAAATGAGTGGGGGCTGAGCAGGCTGGGTAGGTGGGGGCGGGGGGGGGGGCGGGTGTGTGGAGACCAGCCCAGCTGCAGGGAAGTTAGGGTTGTGGGTCCCTGTGGGTAATCAGAATTTTGTCAACAGAGAACATGCTCCTTCCTTGGTCCCAGGAGGACCCCAGTGTGAGCATGAAGGGTGGGTCCATGGTCCTCTGTGTTAGCACAGCTTCTTTCTCTGCCTCAGATACAGACTCTGTCAGACCACATTGTAGACTTCCTCAGGAATTGTACACATTCCTTTTATTTCTCATCTGTGGATATAATTGAGGCAAGGGAAGTTTTCTCTTTGCTTTGGAATTGCATTATGCTTTACTGGACTTTGTAAAGGATTAAAATTTTAAGTTTTGCTATTTGATGGGCGGGGTTGGGAGACCTCTGTCAGTGCTCAGAGAACCTGACGGTCACTCTAAATATCACGTAGCTAGTGGGATGAGCAGTTCAATGCTGGGTACCAAGGATGCAAGGCTAGTGTGATACTGCAGAGCTGGACCTGTCAGGCCTTTATCTGCAGGTGCTCTGGCTCAGGATGGTCCTGTGCTCACATGTGGACCACAGCTCATGCCTCCTGATGGGTCAGTCTCCCTCACCAAGCACTATATTATTTCATGTGAGAAATCGTTATTATTAGCAGACAGGAATTCAATGAGTGAAAAGGATTGTACAAACATTTGAGATCTTGAGTCATAAATGATTGCTAAGATAAAGAATATCTGATAGACACTTCATTGGATATCCTCTGTCTCATCACAAGTCGATCCCTTGCTTGAAATCCAGCTGTTGCTCCAAAGACATTGGAGCTCTTAGACACCAGATGAAAGTCTTAGTGTCTTGAGAAGATTGAGGAAGAGTGAATGACGCCTCCTCATAGCATATGGGATTCACAGACACTAAACAAAGACCTGTATGAGATACCGGGTGCCACCTGGGGTGAGGCAGTCAGCGTGGGGTGAGGATAGAAATCACTCAAGAAGTGTCACTCAGGTCTGGGGTAGAGATCCATGCTGGGGAAGTCAGCATCCAGGTTGCTAAGTGTGCTGTCCCACCACCCCATCAATATCACTCAGAAACAGATCTTGGAACCCAGCGGCTTTTGGCAGAAATGCATTCAGTCCCTGCAGTATGTCACTGGCTTCGGGCCACCTCAGGTGGGAATAGGTTTCATGCCTGGGCCTGTTCTCCCTGTTGACTCGGTGGCTACCGTCCTCCAGAGGCCAATGTATGGTCAGGTTTGGGCCCACAGTGACGAGACACGTGGGGCCTCACGGGATGGGGTGGAGCCAGTCCTTTCCTCTCTGCCCCAGAGACCCCAAGTCCCTGCCACAAACGGCCTCTCTAGCTCCTGATCAAACAGCCTAATGGCCATCATTGCAGAGACTCAGGGACAAATCTCAGAACCCAGCAGGTTTTGGCAGAAATCCCTCCAGATTCAGTTGTTAGAATTTTGGAATTCCAAAATCGCATGACCATTACTGTGGCCGCGAGACATCATATACTATTCATGGTCAACAATAGAAAACAAATTATCTTCTGTTGCCTTTTTGGCAGGTCTGTGTGTTGGGGTAAAATCTCAGGTAATAATGGTGGATCTGGTGTCAAAATATCGAATGTAATCAAAGTAGAGAGAGAGTAATGTAGAGTCATCTGCCCCACAGGTAGGGGGAGGGTTTGGGATTGGGGAGATACTAGGGTTTTGGGTGGTGGAAAATGGACACTGGTGAAGGGACGGGTGTTTCATCATTGTATGACTGAGACCTTAAAACCAAAAGCTTTGTGATTCAGTAAAAAAAAATTCATAGAAAAGAATAAAACATGATGTATAGTTCATGCCCAATTCAATCAACATAATCAATGGTTGAATTAATAGCAATACTCCTACACTAAAAAAAGAAAAGGAAAGAATGAATTTATTCATGAGTCTCTAGATCATGGCGGGTGAATCCAGATGCATTTTCTAATAGGAAAACAAAACATTCAACAGCTTTATATTTAAGGACTTGTTGGTGTTTTAGCCAATAAACCACGAATGAACACTAAGGCTATTTTTCTCAGCAACCAGAAAGGCAAATGATGAAGATGAAGAAAATCGCAAAGTTCCTTTCCCCCCTCATCCTTTCCCCCCCCCTTTACCGTGATGTGCCCCTGAGGCAGACCCTGCTCCAAGGTGCATGGGTGAAGCATCAGCTCAGGCTCCCTCACAGGAATATCCAGGCTGTGGGCTCACACCCCACACACGGGATTCTCACATTCTGGGAGGCTCGAGAGTGAAGTCCAAGGTACCATAAGGTCACTTCCAGTGGCATCATCCTTCTGTCAGCAGGAGCCCTTCTCTCCTTTTGTCCAACAAGTCATTCCTCAGTGGGTGATGTGGGGACAGAGAAGTTTTCCTATTGACTCTACACTTCCACCTAATCCCTCTGTGTGACCTCATTTTACGTAAGTGACTCTACAGATCTATCTCCAATTATGAGCAATAAATAGGGGATCAGGAAAGTCCACAGAATACAAACAGGACAGAACTTCTGTGACTTTTATTTGTTTATTTATTTATTGAATCACCATGAGATACACAATTACAAAATTCTTCATGATTGGGTTTTAGTCATGGAATGGTTCAACAGTCAACCCTTCTCTAGTGTAAATTTCTCACCAACATGACAAAAGCACTCTTCTCCCAAAGGCAGAAAATGGTGAAAATAACGTTGAAACTCAGACTTTAACAGCTTTTAAACTTTTCCACCACATCCATAGAACACCCATTCCTCCTGACAGCTGACCGGTTACTCAGTTTTTCTAAGATACAACATCCCCCTTTCGTCAATTATCATGTCTTTCTGCCCTCTAGTGGTGTCATACAGCAACTCAATAGGTTTCAGGCACTGATGGTCCCTGTGATCCAGGGGCATCCAGAGAAACTTTTCCCAAGTATTTGGAAGACACAATGTAAAGTTTGTCACCAAGCTAGACTACGTGGAAATTTACCGCACTAAAGCCAATGGGATTGGCACCTTCAATCTTTGTCCATCGGGGGTCCGTGACAAAAAGAAGTCAAGAGACACACAAGGAGACAAACATACATACAAGAACTGTCCAAGCTTTTTCAATTTATTCAATGCAAAGTCACTCCCCCACCCAGGTTCCAGCAGGTGAGCCAGTGTTTCAGTTGTCAGGGACATTAAGGACAGTTAGTGAGCACACCCACATTCAGTGGGTATGTAAAGAGCAGAGGCTGGGGTATCTCACAGACACAATCAGCAGTTACCTTACAGTACAAAGCCTGGACATTTTCTGATTATTCTATTGCCTCTGATGCCCTGTACAGTTCAAGGCCCTCTACTGTTTGTTTTTCTCCATTTCAAGGGACGCCTATGCTGCCATTGGGTGTATATATTGTATGCCCAATTATACAATCTAAGACAAGAACCATTTTACCTAGGGGATTATTCTAACCTGGCTAATGCAGTCTAATTCCTCCCTTCAGAATAGACCAGACCAGGTACGAGAAGCAAAGTGGAATCACCACCGAGGAGTCCTCCTGACTTTGAGTTCTAGACAAACAGGTGACCAAGAGTTTAAAAGAGCTCTCAGTCACACATAGGTATTCTCCAGGTGCTATGAAGCCAGGAAATGTCATGGTGTTATTTTGGAAAAGGCAATTCTGAAGATACTTATGACTTTCAGAAACTTATATTGATTCTGAGCATTTCAAGATTCTTAGAAGCAGGAAGCTCAGTCACTGTGATCAATTGCATATTCCTTGTGGGGGACAGACAATAAGATTTTGGGCTAACCTGTGGAGATGAAATATTTCTCTTTCCCATGATTTCTCTTTCGCCTTCAATGTCTCTAAAACTTTCATTGTCAGACACTAAATCTAAACTTCACTTCATATTCAAATGGTAATGAATACAAAACACCAAGATCCAGTAGATCTAATGTGGTTTTTTTTTTTTCAACAACAGCTATGGCCCAGATTTCCACAGTCACAGGAGCAGATCTAAGTAGCTGCCCAAGTCTGCAGTTGCTGAGCCCTGGCAACATGCTGTTTCTCCCTTTGGCTCACAGGAGAAGATTCCTAGGCAGGGCGACCAGGCACCCTGTGGGATGCGCTTGGTGTAAGGCTGTAGTAGATGTGTACCTATCACAACACTTTGGGGTGATAATATGTTTGTTTATTACATTAAAAACCTATTAAAACAATGATTGGTGGAGTTTCTAGAGTGTTATTTCCCTCACATAAGAACTCAGAGTGACACTGCACCCACGTTCCTTAGGAAAATTTATCTCCATAAAAAAATCAGAGATTTAGAGTGACATCATTAGGGAGAGAGTCACAAAGACTAGATGAGTTCCATAACTTCCATCACGTCACGGCTTAACTGCATTTGATGCTCTCAGCAAGGAAGACACAAGAACTATCAGCTGGGCCAGCCCAGCCTCACATAGCTGATCTCTGGGGGTTTATGTTCTGGCCTGTACCACTGTGGAAGGGTAAATACCATAATGATAACAGTAGTAAGTGGCAGCATCCTCAGACTTCAGGCTGCTGATGGTGAGAGTGAAATCTGCCCCAGATCCACTGCCGCTGAACCGGGGTGGGACATCTGGCCCTAAATTGGTCGCATAACTGATCAGGAGCCTGGGAGCTTTCCCTGGTTTCTGCTGATACCAGGCTAAATTACGGTAATTATTCTGACTGGCCTTGCAGGTGATGGTGACTTTCTCTTCCAGAGATGCAGACACGGATGGAGTCTTGGTCATCTGGATATCACACCAGGAACCTTGGGTTGAAAACAGAACCACACATTATCACCACCATTCATTGTACTTTAAATTATTTTCCCTGAAGCACGGGTAGCACTAGGTCCAGTAAACCCTCGTTTCCCTCCTTACTCGGGAGCCAGAGCAGCAGGAAGCTGAGATGCTGCACAGGGGCCCTCAGGTCCACTCTGGGTGTCACAGAAACTGACCCTGCAGGGTGACACAGACTATTATGGAGTGTGCCGTCATGAGTTCTGAGGACTTGCAAATGAGAGGGGGCTGGGCATGCTGGGCAGACAGGGGGAGAGAGGGTGTGGGGGGACCAACTCAGCTGCAGGGAAGTCAGGGGCGCAGGTCCCTGTGGGGAAGCGGAACTTTGCCCACAGAGAACATGCTCCTCTCCAGGACCCAGGAGGGCCTCAGTGTGAGCACAGAAGGACAGGTCCCTAGTCTCCTGAGAGTCAGGACATAGCTTCTTGCTGTCTCTGCCCCAGGAACAGGCTCTGTCAGACCACACCATCACAGACACTCTCAGGAATTGTACAGCCTCCTTTAATTCACAGCTGTGGATAAACTTGAGACAAAGATCTAATATATATTGAAATACCAATATTACAGAGTTTAGGGAGGGCTTAAAAGTTTTTAATTTTTTTTGTGGAGTGGGGACTCTCTTTTAGTGCTCAGAGAACTCAACAGTCACTCTGAACATAATTCAGTCATCCAGTATGAGCAGCTCAATGCTGGGGTCCATGGATGCAAAGCTCTTGTGGTGCTGCACTGTGGGGAACTTTCAGACTTTTATCTGCAGGTACTCTGGGTAATGTTGGTCCTGGGCTCTCATGTGAAGCCCAGCTCATGTCTGCTGAGGTGTCAGTCTCCTTCACCAATTCTGGTATTATTTTGTGTGAGAAATTGTTTTTTTTGGTAGACAGAATTGCAATGAGTGAAAAAAACTGTACCAAATTTTTGTGTCTTGATACATAACTTTTTGTTAAGATAGAGAATATCAGAAAGGCCAACCCATTTTCCTGTTCATCCCTCCAGACTTCTTCACCTGAGATATTATCCCATTACTTTCACCTCAGCCGAAGGGTTAGATTTCTCCCTTTTCATCTTCAAAAACGTGTTCCTTTCCCAACTCTAATTCATAAAAAACAGACCTGAAAATTCCTTGACCTTCTTGAACCTCTCTTCCCATTTATCATCCTCTTCCCCTGAGCTGGTGTTCAGATGCGATGGTTGAGACAGCCCAACTTTATCGAGTTCTCATTGAATTTCCTCTGTCCCAACACAGTTACATCCCTTGCTCAAAAATTGTGTTGCTCCAGAGACACAGAGGCTCTCAGATACCGTATGTACCACCTAATGTCTTAAGAAGACTGAGATGATAGCATTACAGACAGCAAATGAGAATATCCTCACATTTTATGGGATTCAAGACAGTAGACAAACACCTTCATAGAATGCAGGGTGCCACAAGGGTGGACAGTCTGTGTGGAGTGAAGATAGAACCACACAAGGAGAAGTATCACTCTGTCCTGGAGCAGAGATCCAGGCTGTGTGAGTCAGCATCCGGGTTCCTAAGGGTGCCATCCCACCACCCCATCAATATCAATGTTCTTTCATTCTAGAGACTGTGCCTGGAACTGCAAACCCAGCTCTCCCTGCACAGTCCTGTGATCTTCCTATCACTGAATTCAGCACCCAGCAGACCAATCCAGAATCTACTGAACCACTAGCCCAGAAGAACATACACATGCTGAAGTACTGAGTATCCTGGGTAGGGTCTGGAATATTCCCCAGAAAGAGGCAGGTCCGAGGGGAGCCCGGCAGTGATTATGGAGTCTAGAGAAGACAGTTTCCTCTCCAGTGATCAGTCAGTGACTGGGGACTCCCCGAGTTCTTCTGTCAAACAGGAACAGCTCCGGGGCTCCACTTCTGCAGGGCCCAGGAAAGGACCCTCCAGGGCCATTTACTGCCTCACACCTGACTTAGCTGGAGAGATCTCCCCACCCTGCCACCATTGCTTTTCCTGTAGCAGTATCTTGGTCCAAATGAATCTTCTTGCACCACTGAGGAACTTTTTAACCAATCCCTGTATTATGAACTGCTCCCTGCACTGCACTTAGCAGCAAAGAACCTGTCACGGATTCATGGAGACAGGTCAGAACTTGGGGTCAGCAATGGCAGCAAGTAGGAGAATCCTGGGCTGTAACTCTGCAGGCACAACAGCCTGTGTGATGCAGGATGACCTGCGGTCGGTGAATCCAAAACAGAGGTTCCGAGAACCCACATATTCTCGGTCCATCAGGGAGTCAGAGCAGATAGGGTGGGGCTTTGTTTGGAAGGCATTGGGAGGAGAAGAGAGTGATATATTAGAGCTGCCACCCTGTCATGTTGCTATTGGGGAAACCAAGTCCACAGACACTTCAGAAAAGGTTCCGAGGGTGGGAGATAAATGTTCAAAGAGGGGTGTCTGTGACCCTGGATCAATTTTTTGGGGATGGTGAGAGAGCCGTGTGTCTATACTCATTGTCCCAATCCTGACAGAGAAGCAGGGTAGACTGTACTGAAAAGTAGCATAACAACAAATATTGATTTTGTCTTTGTGTCTGTGATGGTGCAGAAGCTCCTGACCAGGCTGGGGGTGGGTGTTGGACACTCTAGGCAATTTTTGGGCATTTGAGCCAAACAGTTCAATGCTAAGAGTTGAGCTCTTGGACATGCTTGAGGCCATTTGCGCCAATGACATCCAGGCAACCCCGCATGCCTGTCTACCAAGGTGAGTCAGGTGGTACTAGAGACCTCCACGAATGCTCCCATACTCGGGGAAATTGAGCTTCCAGGGATCATTTGGATGGATTGAAGGCATAACCCTCAATCCATGTACCTTCTCTGCAGCCCTGGCTTAGGCTGATCTCAGGATGAGATGCTCCTCACACTGTGGCCCTGCAGGTGAGGGACCCTCTCCTAGAAACAGCCAGGGAAGCTGGAGAAGCGCCACACAGTGACATCTTAGTGGACAAAAGAACAGGACAACCCATACATTAACACCTGGAAATTAATTCATTCAGTCTGATGCATTTTCTGGTCAGAAAACAAAAAAGCCAACAGCTTTATTTCTAAGGCAATATTGGACTTTTACACTTTAAGCTATAATTAAATCTAGAGGCCTTTTCCCTCAGAAATTAGAGCACAATGGGGTGAGATAAAGAGAATGGCAAAGTCCTCCACCACTTCCATGATGTCCTAATGAGGCTGACCCTGCCCAGAGGGTGCCTGGGTATAAAGCGTCAGGTCTTGCTCCCTCCCAGGAACTCACAGGCTGCGGGATCACATCACACACCCGGTATTCTCACACTCTGGGAGGCTGGAGAAGAAGGTCATGGTTTTACAGCATTACTTCCCCTGAGACCCTCCTCCTGTCAGCAGGAGCCCCTCACTCCCTTTGTCCCCACAGACTCTACTGGGTGTGTGGACACAGAGTGGATCCCTGGTGTCTCTATACTCCCACCTGTGCCCTCCTGTTACATCATTGTATCTTAAGTGACACTACAGCTCTGTCTCCCATTGTGAAACTGGTTGGGGCATCATAGCAGTTCATAGAAGACAGGCAGGACAGGACTTCTCTCTCCAAAGCAGAAAAGGGTGAAAATATCGCTCCAACTCAGATTCTGAAGGCTTCATACTTTTCCACCACACCAAGAGTCCCTGCCACTGCTGACCACAGGCCTGTGACTCTAAGATCTAGGGATTCTCTTGTCACTTCTGGGGTCAGTCTGCCATCTGGTGACCTCTGTGTGATACAGCAACTTAATACGCTTCAGGCGCTGGTGGTCCCTGTGCTCTTGGGAGACTCAGCCAGACTTTCCCCAAGTTTTTGGAACAGAGACTGAGACTGTAAACCCAGCCAGACTACGTGGAAATCTACCTCATAAGGCCAATTGAATGGTCAACTTCAATCTCTGTGCATTGGAGTCAGCCACAGAGAATGAGACAAACAGACACACAGTGAGACCAACAAACACACATAGAAGAACTATCCAAGATTTAGAATGGCCTGGGCAGCCCCACTGAGCTCGTAAGAAGCTGTTTATTCAATGTAATGTCGCTCCCTACAAACTGGGTCCCAACAGGCAAGCTAGTGTTTAAGTTAACAGGGACATTAGGACAGTTGGTAAGCACATCAACATTCAGTGGTGCATGAGGAGCAGAGACTGTGGTGTCTCACAATCAGCAGGCACCTTACAGTACAAAGTATGGGCACTTTCTGATTATGTTCTTGCCTCTGATGCCCTCTACATCTATAAGATCCTAAAATCTTATTTTAGCCTTTTATCGGTGTATTTATGCTTCTTTTGTAGCACTCTTTCATTTGTGATGGAGCAATAGCACAGCGGGTAGGGCATTTCCCTTCACCAGGTCGACCTGAGTTCGATTCCTCTGTCCCTCTTAGAGAGCCTGGCAAGCTACTGAGAGTATCCTGCCTGCACAGCAGAGCCTGGCAAGCTCCCTGTGGCATGTTCAATATGCCAGAAACAGTAACAAGTCTCTCAATGGAGACGTTACTGGCGCCCGCTTGAGTCAATCGATGAACAATGGGAGGACAGTGCTACTGTGCTATAGTGAAGTGCTATTTATTTTTCTCTTGGCTATAGTTTTGCGTGCCTAATCATGCCTCTAAGTCTCAAATTGTTTTTCCCAGGGACTATCACGAACTTGGTATTTGTGAAAAGGAGAAAATCTTCCACAAGACCATGAGGGAACAAAGTAGTTCATATTCCTAAGAGGCCAACTAGTTGAGGAGAAGTGATGACCACCTAATCAGGGTAGAGGAGAGATGTTTATCACAGGTAGGTTAAGTGCTAGGTGCTGTGATCCCAAGAGATGTGATGGATGTTACTTTGGAAAATGGAGGAGGCTCCGGAGATGAGGAGGAGCATTGAAGGGTAATGGAACACATGGGGGTGGGATGGCAGAGAGCAGAGAGCTCCTGACTCCTCTCTGGTGTGGTTAATCCAGCCTCATTCCTCCTCCAGGATAACCCAGACCAGCTCTGAGAACCACAGTGGATGCATCACTGAGGAGCCCTCCCGACCTTGAGCTCTAGACCAAGACTGATAAAGTTTGTTTCTACTGTTCTATGAGAAAGCCAGGGTGTAATTCAATCTTTTTTGACCCAAAATGCTTTCTTGGTGTGTTATAATTTAAATCCAGAGCTTCATACTTGGGACTTGGGTAACACGTTTTCTATATCTGAGTTACATGCCTGCTCTTAGAGTGATTTTTGGCTTGTGCTTTTCCAATTTGAGAATCTCTCTACAAGTTATTGTGTAAGAGAGACTTGAAATGCAACTAGCACAACTCGGTAGTAGTTTTACTTCTGGTCATTATAACCTTTAACTATGCCGTTGTGTCTAAATGCAGCCATGCTGCAGACCAATGGAACAGGATTGAAATACTGACATCTCCCCCCAAACATACGATCATCTAATCTTTGACAAGGGAGCAAGAAATGTGAAGTGAAGCAAGAAAAGCCTCTCTAAGAGATTGTGCTGCAAAACTGGACAGCTACATGCAAAAAAATGGGCTCAGATCTCTGCCAAACACCATGCACAAAAAAGTAAGATCAAAATGAATTAAAGACCTCAAAATCAGACCGGAATCCTTAAGATACATTGAAGACAAAGTTGGCAAAACCCTCCATGACATTGAAGCTAATTGTATCTTCAAATATGTCATGCCACTGACCAAGCAAATGAAAATAGAGACAGACTAAAGGGACTATCTTATACTAAGAAGCTTCTGCACCTCCAAAGAAACAGTGACCAAAATACAAAGACAGTCTACAGAATGGGAAAGGATATTCGCCCAATACACATCTGATATGGGGTTGATATCAAGGATATACAAAGGACTGGTTGAACTCCACAAGAAGAAAACATCCAAGTCGGTCAAAAAATGGGGCGACGAAATGAACAGAAACTTTCTCAAAGAAATCCGAATGGCAAAAAGGCACATGAGAAAATGCTCTACATCATTAATCATTAATCAGGGAGACGCAGATCAAAACAACAATGAGATATCATCTCAGACATCCAAAAGAACAAAAGCAACTGGTGCTGGCCCACATCCAAAAGAACAAAAGCAACTGGTGCTGGCGCGGATGTGGAAAGAAAGGGACCCTCCTTCACTGCTAGTGGGAATGCCGACTGGTTAAGCCCTTTTGAAAAACAGTATGGACGATTCTCAAAAAATTAGAAATTGAGCTCTCATTTGACCCAGCAATACCACTCCCAGGAATGTATCCCAGAGAGGTAAAAAAGCATAGTCGAAGTGACACATGCACTTTTTTTTCATTGCAGCACTCTTTACAATAGCCAGAATCTGGAAAAAACCTGAGTGCCCGAGAACAGATGACTGGTTAAAGAAACTTTGGTAGATTTACACAATGGAGTACTATGCAGCTGTTAGAAAAGATGAAGTCATGAAATTTACATACAAGCGGTACTACATGGAAAGTATCGTGTTAAGCGAAATGAGTCAGAAATAGAGGGATAGACATAGAAAGATTGCATTCATCTGGGGAACATAAAGTAACAAAATAGGAGACTAACACCCAAGAGTGGCCAAGATTAGTACCAGAAACTTTGATCCATGGCTTGGAGGCCAGCCACACATGCTAGGGGAAAAGGGAGCTCAGGTAGAGAAGGGAGCACCAAACAAAGGGTGTTTGGAGGATCCTCCCAGGATGGGAGAAGCATGCTGAAAGTAGACTATAGACCAAACATGATTGCCACTCAATGCCTCTTTTGCAAACCACAGTGATCAAAAGGAGAGAGAGAACAAAAGGGAATGCCCTGCCACAGAGGCAGGATGGAATGGGGGGATGGGGTGGTGGAAAATGGGCACTGGTGAAGAGATGGGTACTTGATCATTGTATAACTGAAACCCAAGCACGAAAAATTTGTAAGTCTACAACTGTACCTCATGGTGTTTCACTAAGAAAAATTAAAAATAAATAAATAAATAAATAAAAGAATCAAATCTGGGTCAACTGTAAGCAAGGCAAAACTCTTACTTCTGTGCTACAGGCCCATTATTAGATTTTGAAGACTCTAACAGGGTGTCAATTATTCACCTCAAACTATATCTCTTTGGCATATTAATTATTCAGAATTTATTTTTGTTGAACGACTACAGAAAACAGTAAAACTTGAGCAAAGTGAAAATTAGCCCTATGTCTGAGATATTTAGATTTGCAGGGGAAATTTTCATATGTAAGCTTCTCCCCTCACAGCCCCAGGAAGGAAAAATTATTCTGAATCTCTAGAAACTGATCAATGGGGATGGTCAGGCCTTAAATCTGTGTAATAACAATAACCTTGTTTACTGTGCTTTGTCTAGTTACCCCCCATAAGTGCCTCCATCATATTCTTTTCTTTTCTTCTGGTATGTGTGTGTTGTGGGGGGAGAACAGGTGGGAGGTAGGGGAGACTATACCCAGTGGTGCTCAGGGCTCACTTCTGGAGGTTTTCAGGGGACCGTTATGTGGGGATGGGGATGAAAACTAGGTTGACTATGCACAAGACAACCGCCTTATTGTGGTACTACTGCGTCAGCCCCATATTATTTTCTATTTAAATGGATATATTTCTTCTAAAGACAGCTAAAGACCACCGAGGCCCAGCCAAGGCCATGCTGGGAGCACTCTCCACACACTTGGATGAGCCTCAT